TCATATTTTTTTCTGAAAGTGCGCAATTGATAAAATCAGATAATGACGACTGCTTGCTAAATGTAGAAAAGTTACTAATTAAATCTGAATATAACTGGTAACGATTTGAATTTGTGTATGCTACACATATATAAAATGTGCTCTATATATGAACTTTATTACATATATAAATAAAATATTGAAATTAGAATATGTTGTTACTTCTAATTATTCACCGTAATTTATCTGGTAATAAATTATAAAAGTTTAGTATTTACTTTCAATAACAGACAAATATCAAAAATATTTAAAGAACGAATAACATCTAAGTATATATAATTCTGCAAAAAATTAGATTTTTTTATAATAATGCAGATAATTGAAAGATGTTAAAAGTTTAAAATGGATCATTTGATCAAAATATTAAATTTTCCCTGCTTTTAATCATTAAAATTTAAATTAATTATTAAGTTATTAATTACTAAGTTAATAATCCCTACATTACAACACGAGCAGTAAATTTCTATTTTTAATAATCTAGTTACTACAAATTTTGTTATCTTAATCTAAGGGGACGTCCATTAATCACGTGAGGTTTTTAGGGGGAGGAAGGGTTGACAAAAAATCACAAATTCAAAAATCCAAAAATCCTTAAAAACTCGCTCACGTGTATAATGGACGCCGCCCTAATAAAAAAATTAATTTAATTATATGTATAATAAAAGTTTCAAATTAATTTTAATATAATTTACTGTATATTTTATATTTTTCTGTATAACAATACTAGTTTTACATTATCTTAATAAATTTTTAGATTTAATAAATTCTCTACTATAAATTTTGGGCGCCTCAGCTAACTAATAAAGTCATAAGTTTAAAAATTAGACATACGAAATATAAGTAGATATTAATTCTGATTCCAACTTAATATGAAAAAATAAAAATAAACGTATTTATTAAAATATTGCTATTTTCACAAAATATGCAGCGTTATAAAATAGTTTTTAAGTGTGTTTATTATAAGTAAATTATTAAGTCTTATCTAATTATTAGAAATTAAAATAAGAAATTTTTAAAAATTTCATGAGCAAAATGATTGAACTTGAAATCATAATATAAAATAAGTTTATATATTTATGATATTAATTATTATTATATTGCTCTTTAATAAAAAATATAACACTAATAATAAATAATGAAACCTCAAGAAGACTAAAAAAAATTGGCCTGCAGATCTTAAACTAGAATTTTAGATTCAATTTCTAAGATTTTTTCTAAATAATGCGTCTTTGATACAATTTTAAACCAAACTATAATGCAGAATAGCTTATAATATAAAATTATTTCTTTATTGTTATTTAATTAGATATAAAATTAAAATAATTATAGTAGAACAGAGCATTATGCAGAGTTTTGGAAAACGACTTGAGACTTTTTGAATTAAGCAAACTATTAAGCTAATAAAATCACTACATAATATAAATAAAATTCGATATATTAATATATTTGTCTTCATGTCACTTATTTCCAGGATTGACATTTTTCATGACTTTACACATAATCGCGAATTCTCGTGGGAATTTAAAATATTTTGTTTTTGCGGTCCACCAATATTTGATAACCGTATATTGGTGTTATTTTTAGTTTTCGCAATAATGATAATACGTAATAAGTATTATCATGTTGTGGGACTTCACTTTTTATGAATATATTTTATGTATATTTTTTTTAACTGCAATCAGAAGATAGTTAAACGTTACTTTCCTTTAGTGTTAATTGTTTTTATAAGAGCTACTTGAAGGTAATAAATATATACCTAGTTAGTAAGGACAATCGCCATCGAAGGCAACTTAATTGTCCTAAAAAATAAATAATATAAAAGTATACATATAATATTATAGTATAAATATAATAGTATACTTTATATTATTTGGACAGCAATCAGAAGGTAGTACATAGCTTTTATTATTTGAATATCACCAAATTAGGGGGAGGGCCCAAAAATGCTTAAAATATCACTCACGTGATTATTGGACGCCCCCTATGATAATTCGTTTTTTTATTAAAAAAGAGTAGGATATTATTCTAGAATATTAAAATTTTAAAAGGCAAAGAATTTAAAACAAGTATTAAAATAAAGCGTAGTATCATAATATAATGTAAAGTAAATATTTATTGCGTTTTTGAAGGCATGTCACATTCTTAAAAGGTGACAAGTCGGTATATTCCCTGAAGGTTTTGTTAATTTAAAAAATTATGACGGCGGTTTGTTAATTGTTAATGAATGTTTCGTCGAATCATGACCGACAAATAAGTGTTAGCATGTCTATTCAATGATACATTTTATATATTATACATATATTAGGTTGTCAAATATATCCCTTCCGCTTTTTTGCTCTTGGTTTATAATACAAAAAGGCGGAAGGGAGATATTTGACAACCTTATATAAATATATATGTTTTATTTCCAAACATTCAATCCAAAGAAATATGAAAAGTTTTGGAATTCTGTTTGATTCCGACGTTTCGAAACTAGATACGTTCCATCACCAGGGAATGATATTCAGAAAAAAATAAATCAGTTTATTTGAAACACCCGAATTCATTGTTATAACCTATTTTAAAATTATGATAATCCTTCAATTTATTCATATTCTCTGATAATGCATAAAATCGTACAAAGAAACGAATGAAAACTTTGAGTTTCTCTAAAAATCTGAATATACTATATACTTTTAGTAGTATTAGACCATCAAGAAAGTACGAAAATAATTCGAATATTCAATCCAAATAAATATAAAACGTTTAAATAAATAAAAAAGTTTTTTTTTGATTACGACGTTTCGAAATTAGATGCGTTCCATCATCAAGTAATAATATTCATAAAGAAAAATTAATCAGATTATAGAAAATCTAGGATTTGTTGTTATTAATTTACGTTCAAATGGTTATTCTTTAATTTATTCAAATTTAGTGATAATGCTTAAAACCGTATGTCAAAATGTATGAAAAATAAAGTTTTTTTATTAGTATTAAACCACCAAGAAAATAAAAAAAATATAAAAAATGTTATCTTAAAATTAGGCTACCAAGAAAATAAAAATATATAAAAAATGTTCTCTTAAAATAATTAGAAGAAGAGTTACTAATACATATAAAATAAATATATGTATCAATATAAAATATATAATAATATAATAAAATATGAATTGAAAAAAATACTAAAAAAACGCTGTTGTAACTCTGGCAGTATTATTAAAATATGTTTTCTTATTAGCGAAAATTACTATTCTAATATTTATAAAATAGAATGCATTTTACAAAATTACATTATTCCTTTCATGAATTGTTTGTTTCAAATTATGAATTTATATATTTTTTCCATTAGAGATTCGAGTTTTGTCAAAACGTACATGGGAATAATTTTCCTATAATTATCACAAAACGTAAATATATTTTTGTCAAGATATATAACGTAAATTTCAATAGAATGGAAAAGACTAAGAGACAAATCTAGATTGCATTTCACAATAAAATTTCTAGAAACATAAAAAATTAACCAAGAAAGCGACATATATTTAGTGATAATTATTATTCAATTCGATAAAAATAATTATACAAACACGTAAACATTTAGCTATAAAGCTAATAATATGTAAATAATTATTTTTATTTGACATCATGTGTTTTTGTAATTCGCTTAATAGAACAGATAAACTCTATGGGTCTCCGGTATCAATATCAGAGGTGAATTGGTATCCTCAGAATCACATAACATAATATTATTTCATTTTTATTTAAAATTGAAATTGAATTCGAAATAATGTAAGAATGTTAAATTGATTATTTTTATATTTAATGTTAAATTTCGTCTTATATTATTATAATAATATAATATTATTCTTCTATTATTATAATTCTTCTATCTTATATTATTATAATAATATATTATAATAATATAAGAGGAAAAGAAAGCGCTCATTCGTTGTCACATGATCTTTCTTTTTGTTAATAATTATGTTTACTACAAAAACTAAATTTGGTTCAAACTTCTTGTATTTTTTATTTATTTAATATTATTGACGTATAAATTTCTAATTAGCATTAGGTTTATTATATATACAAATAAATAGCAAGTTTAATTTTATTTAATCTTGTTAAATTTACTAAGATCATACATGCATAATTGATATTATATTTGGGCAGGTCTTTTCGGAAATTATTTATAAATCTGATTTGTTGAAAGCAATATTTTGCCTTAAACCAAGTTGCTAAAGCTCTATTTTATTGTCACTAAAAAAAACATATTTTCTGGCAAAAACGTAAGTTGCTCCTTCGGGTAGTCAAAACCTAATTGAGATCATATTTTGAATATATCAAATATAGAAGATTTATAGAGAAATTGGAAATTTTGGAACATATATAAAAATTCTTCTCAATTGAGATCATATTTTGGAACCCTCAAATATAGAAGATTGATAGAGAAATTGAAAATTTTGGAACATATATAGAAATTCTTGTAAATTTGAAGAGAAAAATTGCTTTGTTTGAGGTTGAAAATGTATCTCAGTAAAAAGTATATGGTTATACAATGTTAAAAATAAGACAATCAGGATACTTGTACTAATTCCTTAACGTGCATTGATTTTAACACCAGGTCACCAGCATCATGAAATCTGCTTGTGCAATATATAGCAACAAAGTCTTTCAAATTAAAGATCATTTAAATTAAAAAAATTACATTGTTGTTAGATATTGCACAGGTCGTTCTACTGAAATCAACTGAAATCATACTTGGAGAGTATGTATTTTTCTCCACCATTTGACTAAATAAAAGTATTCTCAAAAATGATTTGAGTAAACATTGAATCCCTGTCTGTATTTTTGCATAAGTCTAAGTTTACGGATACGCAAATATGAAAAATCTGTGTAAGATTCGATGGAAGCGCGTTCATATATAAATATAACGCTGATGGTCACCAATTGTCAATTGTACCATTGTGCCGACAAAAGGACTTTGTAATATTGTGCAAATAGACCTTGTTTTTTGTATAAAGTGCACGAATTTTTTTTACTCGAGTTGGTCAGTGATCCGCTTTGTTGATATTTATAAATTATTCATTGTGATTTAAAAATAGTGCAAATTGTAATCATGAAGACATTCGTCATAGCCGCTATGGTAAGTTTAAGTGTAGTAGTTGTTTTTTACCTTTTTGAAAGTGATCACATCATCTTTTTGGTCTCTTTAGAACGTCAAATTAAGTTTATTACGTCAAAAGAAGTTGTGTAAGAATTGATAATTTTTAAGATACTTATTTTGAATAATAAAAATTAGAGCAGCTTTGCGGATCGAATTTACATAATTTAGTGCTATGATCACTTTAAAGTTAAAATGGAGAACATCCATAATGTTTAGTTGGTAATAACAGACACATTTTGTCATGAAAATATATGTTTCTCTGTTTAATATAAGTCAATGATTTTCTACATTAAAAGCTTTAAAAATATCAATAATGACTCTTATAAGAATTCAATGCAAATCCAATAATACAGCAGTTAGAAGAAATCACTGTCAATATGAAATAATTCTAAATTCGGAATGTTTCAAGGATTACTATGAAACTTATGAAAATATAAAATCGGCATTTTTAGCAATTAACACTAACATACATATTTTCAATATGTTCAGGAGTAAAATTACATATCAAATTGATTTGTGAATATAAAAGAAAAGGCGGCTTTTGGATGTTTATCAGATATCATCAACTGGACATTCACATCCAGCTTCATAAAAGTTAAATAAATTATTAAAAATAAATTAATTTTCTAGTAATACTATATATAAAATGATAAAGTGTAACATTCCGGATTCTTATAAGAAAGTGCAGAAAGTCAAGTTTTCCTTTTTATCCAACAATAATTTTTACGTCTGTCCGAAATGAAAAACAAGTAAAACTTTTAATATAAAAATTAAGACTTCAAAAATACAGTATCATCTGACTATTTCCAGTGATTAGTCGACGATATCCTAATGTAAAAATCATTTGAACATAAAAAACAAAGTAGTAAATAAGTATAATTTTATATTCAAAGTTTTACTTTCGGACAGATGTAAAAATTATTGTCTAATAAAAAAGAAAATCAGACTATTCTGCACTTTTTAATAGGACCCAGAAATGTTACACTTCATCATTTTAATATATAGTATTACTAGCAAAATAATTTATTTATTATGTTGTTTTACATTTGTTTTACTTTTTGCTTAGGATGTCAACCAAATTTATGCAATAAATAATTTTAATATTTTATAAATTGATAATGAGTTAAAGCTAAATGAGATGGCCACTTTACGTAAAATCGTTATTATGCTGTATTTTTATTTTAAGTAGATTATGGGCTATTTATTTGATATTCAAATTCAATTTAATTATTTCACTTATAATTGACAAATTACAAACATATTGCAAAATTAAAGTGTATACCATAGATGCTGTATACCGATGATATAAAAAAATATTATTTAAAATAAAAGAATGTTAACTATAATATTGGCCCACAAGCGCATAGCAGAAAGCAGTTTCACTGACCAGCTTTTATGATCAGTTTGGCTAATCAGCTAATAGTTTATAGCTTTTAGTAAAGCTAATTTATTGCTTTATAAAAAAATAATGTGTTTCCATTTGCAATTCATTCCCAATAATATTTTCAAAATCATTATTTCTATTTCAGCTGATATTGCAATCTTTCTATGTATTCGGCATGCCAGCCGAAACCCCTGAAAGTCATTTGACGTCACCATCTGATGCTGTCTCAGCATCAGGTGATGATTCACACCTGGATTCGACTACGCAAATAATTCATGATGATGATAAAAGAAAAACGATCGACGAAGCTGGAGAAATTGCAGAAGATCAAGTCGTGAGAGACCTGACAGGTAAACTTATTATTCAGTCTATCTGATAATTATTAGGCAGATCGCTAAATTTATTTTAGCACTGTACGAGCTTTGTGACACTCATAACTGCGGTAATAACCTATAATTCTCAACAATTTAATTTAAGGTGATAAAACAGTGGATGTCATCTATAGACGACATTCGTGCACGCAGATCGTAACGACAACGTCGAACGAATTTATCAATAATTGACGACATGATAAATTAGCATAAAATAAGATGTTTCATTTCTATTTTTCACTAATTTTTTTTATCAATATTCAAGAATTTGATCCCAATTAGGACAAATTGATATCGAGCTGTAGTTATATTTATTTTCACTTGGAAATATAGATCCAAAATATGTTTCGAAGTTATAATAGTTCCTTCCCGGCCATTGCTGCATTAAATTGAATAATATATGAGCAATATTAGATGGATTATAATAATTAATAAATATATCCAAAATAAGTTAGTTAATCGTTGAGTTGCCATCCAAATACTGTGAAGAAGTAGAAAGCGAAACTTCTGTTCGCTATTAAAAATGAGAATAAATACAATCTCAAAAATATGTCCATTATAATATAAACAATATTCAAGAACTTCTTGGAATTGATGAATAGAAACCTTTTTTATGTCCTTTACTAAGCCCGAGTAATGTTTGTATTTATTTTAAAACACTTAAACCGTAAAGAGGCAACATCCAAACTCGTAAACATGTCCAAAATGAATAGTTCAAAATTTCCGATATTGACTTCTCAAAGAAATTTTACGCATCATATTTCACATACACAATATTTTGGTTTTCTCTTACCAGATGTGTAAAAAATAGTCATAAAAATACCCGACACGACGTACTTAGAATTTTGAATGTAATTTTAGGAATGATTTTTGTCTCAAAATATTACGAAATATTTCTTGGAATAGAATAAATCACTTCAAGGTAAATATTAGTAATGACTAAATGAAAATAATCATCGAATTTTAAGTATTATGTATCAAAAATAAAGTAATAATAAGAAGCTATTGTTTTTAACTGAAACTCTATTAAATATATATCATTTATAAAATATAATAAATACATATATTTTTTGTCATGAATAAAATAAACTCATTAATCAAAATTAATGTAGAATTTAACTTGAAAACCAATAGGTAAAAATTATAATGAAAAATATATTCCATATTTAGCTTCAGGGAAGGCACGTCTAGCGCTTTCGAAAATAAATGAAAAAAGTAAAAGAAAATGCTATTGGGTAGTCAAAAATGATTATTAGACAAGTGCACATCAAATTATCAGATACTTTATAAAGATTTTAATAATAAATAGAAATTTTGTTTGCATTTCTATGGTATGTTCCGTACCAAGGTTTATAATGTTTATCTAAAAAAACTGAATGTTTAATATAATTGAAGGTTTAATATAATAAGTTAAAAAATTCAAATAGGAAACTATTTCCAAAACAATTTACTTGTACTATTTTAATATCAAAAAGTATAGTTAAAACTCAGTGTCCCGTATATGGAACTGAAACAAAAAGATGATTTTTTCGTGTAAACTTCCTATAAATATGCGTTCATTTTTATTTTTATAAGTTTTCATCATCTTCTGATCATCAGTTACAAACAATATATTTTTGCCACAAATTTAAAAATATTTGAGCCTGTAGGGTTAATGCACGATGCCATGCACGACTAGTTTTATTATATTTCGTATAATATTATAGTCATGAATGTCACATAATGTTTTTAGCAGGGAACTTTAAAATAATTACAAGACAAGACTTTCAACAAAATTATATTTTCAACGTGTTTACTGCACAACTAAAACAAGTTGAGCAAAATTGACAAATTAAAAGTTTAGGTACTAATTTTTGCAAAAATCTAAATAATTTAAATGAAAAATATGCTCCATATTTAGCTATTGGGAAGAAGGTTGCGCTTGCAAATATTCAATGAAAAAAGTAAAAAAAAAACGCCATTTGGTGGTCAAAAATTATTATTAGACAAGTGCACATCACATTATCAGATATTTTATAGAGATTTTAATAATAAAGGGAAATTTTATTTGCATTTCTATGGGTTCCGTACCAAGATTTATAATGTTTAATTGAAAAATCTAAATTTATAGTACAGAAAGTTCCACCAATTTTCCTTAAGGGACAGCCATGCACCACTAGTTTTATTATATTTTATATTATAATATTATAGTCATGAATGTTACATATATGTAGAACATTATAATGTTCTTTAGCAGTTGTAGCAGGAAAACTTAAAAAAAGATACAAAACAAGACTTTCAATAAAGATAGGTAGATTTAACGAATTATCTGCACAACTAAAACGAGTTAAGCAAAACTGACCAATTAAAGGTTTAGGAACTAATTTTCGCAAAAATCTAGATAATTTCCTGATTAACTGTTATGTAATTCCTTTTCAACTCTCTATTATCAGTTTTCTAAATTAAATAATATTTTTTAGGGGAAAGTGACGTAGAAAGTGCCGATGGTAACGATGGCATGGACACCGCCGAAAGCGCTTTGGTCTTCCGACCTTTGTTTGCTTATAGGAAACAGTTGATCAGGCGCGAAAGAATCCGAGCTCAGAGGAGAGCAGAAGCCTGCAAACACTAAAATTAATTGTAATAATTCATTATTTATAAAATTAATTACTGATTACTTTAATTTTTAACTTCTAACTTTAAAATTAACAAAAATACTCTTTCCAATCTTATAAATACTACTTAAGTACTGATTAATTTATTATTTATTTCTCATTATACGATTAATAAAATACTGTGTAAGCTTTTTATATATAAATAAAGGAAAATGAAATACAAGCTTTTAATCTATAACGCAGAATATACACTTTGTCAGGATCAATCTTATGAATTGATTCTCGTTTGAAGTGCATCACTCTCTATAATTGTATATACAATATACATATATCAATTTTTTATGAATGAAAGGATCTTTCAAACCACGTAAAAATATTACTTTTCTCGCTTTACAATACCCTCGTCTTTCAATGGCAAAATTAGCATGTTCCAGATCACCCAATTCCATTAAACTGAACAATTGTAAATCAATCATTGCTTGAATATATACTTTGGTATATTTAATGTAATATTTAATAAACTCGAACTGAATTCATTTAAAATACTTTTAATATATCATACGAAAATCTTCCACAAAATATTAATTTATTTAATAATGAATATAGACATAATAATAGATATAAGTACCAATCGATCAAAATTGAGAGTTAGCTTTTAGATAAAATTTTCAACCTATTTTTTCAAAAATAACATTTTCGCTTTATCTTACTAAATAATCAATCTAATTATAGTGCTCAAACACGAGCCAAGAATGTTAGTAGAATGGAAGTTTCACCTCAATAACAATCTTCTAACAAAATAAAATGATGTTACCGGAAAATTGTTGAAACCTCACAAAACTGTCGCCAAATTTTAATAATCAAACAATTTTACCTTTAATATATAATACTAAGCTTTAGTAAAGTTAGAAATTTATAAAAAAAACGATATCGGGTAAATAAGGAGTCCATGGCAAAACGCAAACGGGTTTACGATACAAAAAAGTTTGGAACCTTATGTTCCAAACCTTAAATTTCATTAAAAAATTGAAAAATAACATTTAATTACAATGGAATGTCTTGGCTGATCTTTGCTAAAAACTAATCACAATAATTCCTTATTTAAACTAACAAATGCGGAAATTATGGTCATTGTTTTGTGAATGATTCCTCACTAAGATCTTGCAATTTTGAAGTTTCAAAATGGGTTCAAAAATCCATTTTGTAAACAAATAATTTTTGGATTTTCAGAAATTCTGGCAAAACGGTTCGACTAACTGTCTTGCAAAACTATACAAAGTGAGTCCTTATCTAATTTCATCAATTTTACTTCATATACACATTTTTTTTCAATTTTGATTTAGAATGATTTCAACCGTCGAGAAAATATAAAATCAGCAAGTCGAATTTTCAGGCAAAAATATTAACGTTGTTGTTCCCTTCGGCCAAATAAACTTCAAACTTAAGTTGGATCATTATTTTGTTTTGTTATATCTTCATATATTTTTTTACGGTTGTAATATAATATTCCATTGTTCCGTTTTATGTGAGTTATTGTATTCTGATGAATCAATATTGAATCAATCAATTATCTCAATTAGTCTTTAATATTGATAATTCCAAAAGTAGCCAAGAATGCACGCTGCTAATTTAATTAAATTATATTTATTTAAACTAATCTTTATGACAAATGCGGAAAATATTATCATTGTTTTGCGAATGCTTACTCATTTTTATTTAGTTATATGTTTAGCTCAATTTAATAAAAATGTTTAATATAAAAATTAAAACTACACTATACCATTATACGGAATTTCTTTCTGAATATAAAAATTTAATTTTAAATTTATAGACAAAGTTATCAGTTACTTGATTTGCAAATAAATTATATCGGAATTAATGTTTTTTGTTTTTTTTTTTTTGACACTAATAACAAAAACTAGCTTAATTGCTAGGTTCAGTAATTTTATATTTTTATAATCATTATTATGGGTGTATATTGAAAACGGGTAAAATTATTTTGCATAATCCAAAAATAGAACAGGTACGTATTCAAAATTAGCTATAATAAAAATGCTATAATTTAATTTCAAAAATAAACAATACTAAACGTGATGTCAAATAAAATTGACATAAAATCCATCTGTACACTATATTAATTTCGTTATTGATATTTATAGTGCATGATACTTCTCAAATAAAGATTTATATAGATTTTTGCTTATTTTATATGTTATTTTTAATTTTAGTTAATCTATTTATAACAGTGCTATGCCAAGTTCGGCTTGTGGCCCCGATTGCTCTCACACACGTGTACCAGAGTGTAACCGAGATAATAAATATTCAAAAATGGCTTGGAAGGCGGCTGACATATTATTTTTGGTAATTGTAAAAATAATTTATATTATAAGCCAGTGAAAAATTGTACTAATTATTTGAAGAACTTAACGCTATCAGACAAAATATAAGAATAAAATGAATTTTGGAACAAATATTTACAGAAGCAAAGTTAAAATAGCGCTGAATATTTGCATTGTCATGATGAAAATTGTGAATTGATTCTCGTTTGAAATATATCCTTCTCCATAATTGTAAATATATCAATTTTCACAGTGCCAATGTTCCTTTTATGAATCTAAGTCCTTTCAAAATATGTAAAAAATATTACTCGGGGTTTTCAATACCATTGTCTTTCAATGCCAAAATTAACATGTTCCAGAACACCCAAATTATTCACAAAACTTTAAAATTGTAATTTAATCTTTGCTTAAGCATTTACTTAGGCAAATACTTTTTTCCTAGAAATCTCTTCAAAAATTTAGAATATTAGATTTACTATAATTTTAGAATTTATAATAACCCTTCTTGGTTTGTTGTAGAACCCACTAAATACCTTTTTGTTTTTTGATATTGCTCTAAAAAAAACTATTAAATATTTTCACAAATTAATTTTCACCGTAGGTTGATAATGTCAAATAATTTTAATACACTAAGCAAAAACAAGAAGATCTGTATATTCTTAGAACGAAATTAAAAAAAAAATTTAGATGGAGTACTCAGCATGCTGCTGCTGTTATATTAAATATTAGACATTATTATTTATTAACTAATCTAAAGCATTTTATATATAAAATAATAATAAATAAATTTATTTACTTATAATTTGTTATAGTGCTTAAGCAAGCCGATATTCTGGATGATCGATGTAGCCTACAATCCAACAGTTAGAAATGCATGTTGGATTTTCTCACAATTATTATTAGAAATCACAATGACGCTTATTTTAGCTGGAGTCAGTGCTTTACTCTCATTATGGTCAGTAAATTAATATAAAATATTATTATTTTCAATACTATTATTTTATGCTTTCCTGATCACAGATTCTAAAAATAAACCTCTTATTTTGTCCCTTGTTAAAATTTCAATTGTTCAATAGAATTTCTATAACTTTGTATACTAAAATATTTATAACCCTCCCATAATAGTCATAAAATTCTTTTCAATTTGTCATAGAAAGCTTTACAATTTGGTTGCAAGTTTACGATATTGTTCCTGAGACTCATAGTTTGCAAAATATAATACAAACAGATGTTCCTTTTACCCAGACATTTATAGACGGAAATTTTGTTTGTGTAAAGACCTTGGGTTTTCATTATTTGTCAATATGCCAGTACATTTAATTATATGAGCAAATACATAAAAATATAAAAGCTTACTGCTACTGCTAAACACTGCTTCTTAATTTGACAACTTATTATACTATTAAGAAGTAGTAAAGCTCATAGTCATAATCATAGATAAGTAAACATAATCATATCATAATCATATCAATTTTAAATCCGAAGGAATTCATACAATCATATTACCATTTTATCATATTTTTTTCAAATTATGTTTTGTTTAATTTCATAACTTTAATTATTACGTGTAATATCGATATAGTTATAATAATGCTAGTTTTATAATAAAGTTCTATTAATGTGTCTAATTAAGGTGATCATCTATCTATTCTCACTTACTGAATTTTACACTTTTGCAAAGCATTCTCTTTTTAATTCATGTAGTTTAAATGTTCTCAATTTAACTTTATAGTCATTCATAAAAAATATTTTAATGAAATAAATCTTCAGTAGTTGAACTTGTAATGTAGGAAGTAAAAGATAACGTCATTATTGACCAAGAGCTTTGGAAAAATAAAATCTGATAAAACATAATTATCCGACATGAAATTTTTGAAATTTTAATAGAAATTTTCTTAAATTATCCAGACACTATTGTCATTGTTGAAAGAATAGCTTATCAAACGATTATTGAAATAGTAAAAAGTCACTACTTTCTGCAAAATTGTTATCTTTTGCCTTCACCGTCAATTTTAATATGCAAAATTAAAGTTGTTCGGATGTGCATTATGAGACAAATATTATTATGTAACAAAAAAAATCTATTACAATAAAAATAAGTTTAGAAAAAAAATCAGTGCTTAAGTATGTTGATTTCTTCATATATGAAATATTTACAAATTGTACTCATTATGAACAAAAATAGTTGGTCGCCTTATAATTAGTCTAATCCTATGTCCGAATAGAAAAATATAAATATAAATGTCAAAAATCTACCTATGCCTCTCTAACAATAAGGCTTGGAAAAATATTAATAAATATAAATATGTAAGATCGTAATAGGAATGTCAAAGATTTACATATGCCTCTAAGGCTTAGATATCAAAGATCTACATATGTCCCTAAGGCTTAGATCTTTGTAGATCTTTGATATTCCTATTATGATCTAACATATTTATATTCATTTATATTTTTCTATTAGAATATAGGATTAGACTACGGTGACCAACTATTTTTTGTTCAGAATGAGTGCAATTTATAAATATTTGCTAGATGAAGAAAATACCATAAGCACTTAAATTTTTGTAAACTTATGTTTCTTTGGAGTGGATTTTTTTGCTACACAGTGGTCGGGAAACCGGAGTAAATTACCCCAAATGGGGTAAATATGAAATTTTTGGGGGTGAAAAGTACGTATT